AGTACATTGACTAAAGATAGAAAATTTAAGTCAAGTAGTTTCATAAATATAGTAGACGACGACGATGATGACAATGATGAAGATAATTATGCAAGTCCTGTAATCACCGTTGAGGATGTTGGGGACCTCGATAGTGATGCCACCTCAAGCAAATGTTCTTTTCCTGCTTCTAGCAAGAATTCTGTAACCTCAGATGGTGGTGACTGTCAGGGTGTCCAGGAAAAGGGTTATACAGTAAAAGGGTCAAAGTGCAAGCAAACCCACTCTGGTGAAGCTCCTAGCAGGAATTGTTATGGTTTCGGTTTTGAGTCTGAGAGTTGTTCATCTGATAGTGATTATTCTGATTGTGAGCTAATAGAAGGTTCTTATGGGAAGCTTCATCAATATTGGGAAAAAGTTTCCCAGAAGAGAAAACATGTTGTTCATAATGGCCAGTCTGGTTCGGAGGGTCAAGTAAGTGGTTCTGGATCTCATAGTGATACCCAAGCTAATGCTGAGGTAGAGAATAGGACAGCACCTGGAGATGTCCCTGTTTGTTCAAGTTCTAAAAATGGAAATTATGAAAAGGAAAACCTTCCATACTTTACGGGTACTCATGATGGCCACACTGAGGGCAGTTCTTTGGATCCCCAAATGGATGGTTCTTTTGTTGAATCCAATCAGAACGTCAATAAAGAAGATCCTCTTATTTATGAGTGGCAGAGTTTCCAAGCTAATGGCATGGCTGGTTTATCGAATGAAGGAGAACAAAGTCCTGAAGAGCATCCCCTGTGGTCAGAACTAGGCGGTAGACAGTCTAAACATCCAGGGACTTGTTTTATGGATAATGGGCAAAATTTCAGGGCTGAAACTAACAACGATCAAAGAAAAGCTACTGTTTCGAAAAAGGAAGAATATTTCTGCAAGAACCAAGATTCTGGTGAAAGGCCTAGTAACCATGATAGAGATGAACTGAGTAACGATGATGAGTTTCATGATGATCCATCTAGTTCTGAGGAAAAAGACAAAGCAGTTTCTGGTCAACCATTTGACGAAACACAGATGGAAAGTGGGTTTGCTCCTCCTGAAGACAAACTTGGTGCTGTTCATGAAAAAACTTTCTCCCAGGAAAAAGCGAGTGCAACCTTTGAGGAAGTGTCTTTGGGCAACACCTCATGCCATGAAACAAGTAGTAATCAGGGCGGATTTCATTCAGCAAGAGAGAAAGAATTATGTGATCTGAGGGATCGGTTACCTGCTGAAGACGGCTATGTGAGTCCTGTTCAAAGAGATATAGCCATTGTTGAAAGTGATATAATCACTGATCGAGAAAAGCACAAGGAGACTGCTGAATACAAGCGAGCAATAGAAGAAGAAATGGCATCCAGGCAGCGAGTCTTACAAATTCAGGTTCTGAACATGCCTACATTACCTTTTTTTGTTTTACATTTTTAACAAAGTGAATGTTTCATTCATTATTTATTTGTTTATTGTGGTCTACGGGAGGCATATTGGGACTATAGGCTACACAACAAGAGTCATCGTTATCCCTTCTTCATCACCTGACTTTTGTGCTATTTTTCTTTTATTTTGTATTTTATGTAGATCATAGTATGATTTGTTACAGGGGTTTTTCAGAAGTTCTGGTAAAAAAATTATATATCTGCCATAATGCAGTATATTTCTACATGTTCATTAATCTCAGTTTGGTGCCCTGGCTTTTATTTGTTTATACCCTTTCTGTCTGAAATTCATATATCTTTATTTATAGTCCATACACTTCTGAAACTTCAAGTCTTTGTGCATTTCAGTAACTTGGTGTCAGTAGATATTGAACTTGAAAGGTGTTTTGTAGCTTATAGAAGACCAATTGACCTGAAATTAGGAATACTTTAATTTTTGCCAGGCAGAAGAAGCACAAAGATTACGCAAGAGGAGAAAGGCGGAAAACATGCGTTTATTGGATATGCAGAGAAGACAAAAGCAACGTGTGGAAGAAGTTAGAGAGTCGCAAAAGAAGGTCCGGATTTCAAATGTTGCTTCTCTTCGTCTTTCGACTCCCCTTCCAAGTTTAAAGGAAATTCTGTCTGGTTTTAAGATCAAGTACAATTGATTGTATATAACTGACTTGTTAATTGTGTCATATTCAGGATGAAGAAAATATAAATTTGAAAGACCAACTTCGTGCTGAAGTAAGGAAGGAGCTTAAAAGATTGGAATTGACATGCATAGATATGGCTTCTTTGCTTCGTGGCTTAGGAATACAAGTAGGCGCTGGTTTCCGTCCTTTGCCCAATGAGGTAAGTTAAAATAATAAGTTACTGAAGATGGTTTAGGATCTTTTGTAGTTTATGGTTTGATGGGTTTCTAATTTCATGCAACAATAACTAATGGAAATGGAAATGGAAATGGAAATTTCAGGTGCACGCAGCGTATAAACGGGCATTGCTGAAATTTCACCCAGACCGGGCATCAAGAAGTGACATACGCCAGCAAGTTGAAGCCGAGGAAAAGTTTAAGCTTATATCTCGCATGAAGGAAAAACTTCTACCGACTTCATGCTATTGAATACACAGATAAAAAATTTCATCAAATTTGATCAATTTTCCAATGGCAACAGGTTAGGGTTTTTCTTTTGTTTGTTAATGCCTCCACAAAGCTTTCGATTCCTCATTTTGTATCCGTCGTCATTTTTTTCAACCAGATTTTTGTAGGTAACGAAGTTTTATGTTGTAAATCAGTTGTAGTTTTTTGTAGAAGGTGGCCAGAGAAATTATTGTTTCGAATGTGCAAGTAATAACTTGCTTGTTCTTCTTGCTCTAGTAATTGCCATTTGGTCCTGAGTTTTTTCCTTGCCAGAGATTGAAGTACCTCTCCTTTCTTTGCCCAACCTATGTGAATGGTGAGAAGACGGTTGATTTTCACCTTTTTAATCAAATGGAAATAACATATATGATTAAACATGAAAATGTTGAAAGAGAAAAATAGCGTGTTTATCATTTTCCTGCCAACAACTTTTTGAAGGGGCCAGTGCCCCACGGTGATGCACATAAAGCGATCTCTTTCCCATAGAAGTCCACCTGAGCCTTTTGCTTCCTAAGAATTCTTGGGAAATTGGCAAAACACGATATCATCAAATATCAAGATCAGTTTTGCGATATCTTGTTTATCTTTGATTGTTATAATTGATGATATTTAGTTGGCGTGTTTGATTTTTATTTTAAACCGTTTAACAATTGAAATTTGATTTCTAATCATTTTAGTCAATTGTGATCTTCTCGATCCATACCACTCGAAAGATTGCTGACAACACATCTTCCTATCACCATGCTCATCTTTCTTCCATCAAAAGAATGCTACACGAGAAGCAACATGTGATGTGATATTGTGATTGTGCGATATGAGCAGAATTTTGAAAGGACACCGCTTTCTTTTTGTTATTATTGGTCAAACAATGCGAGCTTTCTTAGGTCCGATCAAATAATTGATAAAATCAATAACAAGGGTCTTTTTTATCTCACACTTCACCAAGATAAAAAAATCAACTTATCCAATCAAAAACCCCTTTTGGATTGGATGAGAATGAATAAAGAAATACTAAGTCGTCCCATACCAAATCTGGAACTTTGATTCTTGCTAGAATTTGTGAGACTTTATAATACTTATAAAATGAAACCGTGGATTATACCAATTAAATTACTACTTTTTAATTCTAATATAAAAAAAATGCTAGTGAAAACAAAAAGCATCACTGGAAATAAAAAGAGAGATCCTTTTATATAAACTACTAAGTAATTTTTTGTTAGGTAAGTTACATTTATTAGTTAGGTAAGTTACATTTATTTTTTTAGTTAGGTAAGTTACATTTATTAGTTAGGTAAGTTACTATTAGATTTCAATATCCTTCTTAGATTCAATTTTTTGTTTTTTGAAATCAACTACTAAGTAATTTTTAGTTAGGTAAGTTACATTTATTATTCATTTACAAATCTTTTTCCCCCTTTTTTTTTAAAGAAATCTCAGCACGAGGAGATTTTTATTAAAGCAAGAAAAGGAAAATTATACTTAGTCTTGACTCGGGGACTTAAGTGGGAAATTTAAAAAAAAAAACCAAAGTTTGAACCTTCTATTAAATTATGATCACATTTTTAAGTTTATAATAATTATAACCAAAAATTAATATGAAATACTAATATACTCTTAAAATGAGGTTTTCTAAATAAACAAAAAAAAAAAAAACAAAAAGCAAAATTAAAAGTCACTCGTGAAATTAAACAAAAGAAAATTCAATATGTTTGGATGAAGAAATTGTAAATTGACAGAATTTAAACTCACTTCAATTAAAATTTCATCCATTGTAAATTCCATTGTTTGGAGATATGTATGTGAGATTATGTATGATATATGATCCAAAAGTAGGTGAAACAAAATAGAAATATGCAGAGCAAGAGGTCATTTATCATGGAAATATGTTAAGTCCTTGCATGAGGGCGTGGGTTCAAACCCCGTCAATAGCTAATTTAACACCTAATCTAACAAAATATATCGATTAACAAAAAAAAAAAAATATGCAGAAAACTGATTAATTAAGTTGGACTTTTCATCATCAAGAAAAAAAAGAACTCAACTCATATCAAAGGAGAAGAATAATTGCAGAAAACCCAACAACGATAACCCAGCTGCTCTTCTCTCTATTTCTCAGCCATGATTCTCCCCATCCATAGTACCCACAACCCCCACCCTGCAGCCCTGAATCTAAAAGCTAGAGGAGCTAAGATGTTGTAAAACATTGCCCCTAGGACCTCTCTAATCATCAATTTGGTTCTCAACATCGCTGTTACCATAATTTATTTCCGGTATATTAGTACTTTTCATATCAATTTTTTGTTATAATTATCAATAATTTAAAATGGTAACTATAATTCTATTTAGCTCCAAAATTTGGTTATTTTTCTAATTTCCCGATATAAACCTTACCGCTCTTAATACAGAAAAGATAAAATACAGAAAATAAGATAGTCTTGAGTATTGAAACTGGGCTTCAAATTATTTTCAGATTGGAATACATAACAATTACGACTAGTCTTAAGTATTGATACTGAGCTTGAAATTAAGCATATTGAATTTTGGAATTTCACATGTTTATTCTTCCGTCTTTGCACAATCTAAATTCTAAAACACACAATATTACAAGATCAAAGTGAGTGTAGTATAACTTGAACTCCATGCTGTGGGCTAACGGCTAGGCCGTTAATGGGTGAGTGCATATAGCTCGGGGAAAGAGTGAAGGAGTAGCGTTGTAGAATCATGGACAGAGCAATCTTTGCTTCGATGATTGCGAAGTTCATGCCCACACAAGTTCGAGGTCCCATTCCAAAGGGTATGAATGCGACCATGTTATTGTTAGTAGCCTTAGAGACACCTTTTGAGAATCTCTCTGGTTTGAAAAGTTGGGCGTCTTGTCCCCAGAATTCAGGCTCATGGTGAAATGCTAGATTTGACACCCGCAATTGAACATTAGCAGGAACATTGAGCTCTTCCAGTCTAACTTCCTTTTCCGTTTCCCGTATGAGGTGAATGACAGGAGGATATAACCTTAAAGACTCATTGACGATCATACTCATCTGCAATCATCAAAATGAAGATAAAAATTAATCGAGAACAATATTTCTGCTCTACTTTTTTGATAAGCTAACTGTTTGACTTTCTTACTGTTTTAAGCTTAAGCTTGGCAATGCCGTCAGGATTTGGAGTTTGTTTGCCAAACAATTGTAAGACTTCCTTCCTTGCTTCCTCCTGCCAATCTGTATGAAGTGCCAGAAGAAACACAGTCCAAGAAAGCATACTGGTTGCGGTTTCTTGTCCAGCAAGGTAAAAAGTCTTGCACTCGTCAACCAATTCATCCATCGAGATCCTCTCGTTTCCGATGGCATTGTGGTGGGCTTTTAAAAGTAGTCCAAGATAATCACTCCCAAAGCCGTCTCCTTCTCCGGTCATTGCTTTCTTTTCTCTTTTGCTAGCCATCCCTGCTATGGAGTCGCGTATTCCTTTCTCAAGCTTATCCGATTTGATCTCATCGCTGGGTTTATAGAACTTACTGCAAGTTTGAATGATAGACTAGTCATGAGAAGTGACACACTCATTCCATAATCCTCCATGATTACTGTTAGATGAAGCTAGAGTTCTCCCACTCTTTGAGATGTTTTAGTTAGAGGAAGCTACCTGATGCCAGGAAGCCGGAATGTGTAAGTATTTTTGAATAATAAGGAGGCCAACTCCGTCAACATTTCAAAAATGTTCTTCCCTTCCAAGTAGCTGCTGCCAAATGCTGTCCTAGAAATCACTTCTGAGGTTAACAACTTAAATTCTTCATTCACCTCAATCTCCTCGCCTTCATGATTTTTCCACCTTTCTAGCATTACCTCAGTGCTGGTTATCATTTCAGGAATCATACTCTACAGTAACACAACATCAGTATGCAAATAGCAAATTTACATTTAATTAAACTAATTTTTCTTATGAACAATCTACACAACTCCGCTACTATATTAGCATACATTGCAGGAATTACATATAATTAGCTGTAAGAACATAATCATTACTTTTAAGCTCTCTCCATTGAAGGCATGGGTGGCAAGCTTTCTTAATTTTACCCATTTTTCACCTTCTGCCATCAGAAGGCCGTCTCCGAACAGTTTTTTCACAAAGTACGGGGGTTTTGGTTTTCGACAAATTCTATCCTTGTTGCTTAGTATTGCTTTGCACGACTCGGGTTCCCCGATGGTTAAGTGAGGTTGAGGACCATACCACTGAAGAAAACTCTTCCCTGTTGCAACAAAATGTTACCAAACTTTTGAACTAATAATTAAGATACACATATAAATCACCATAGATTTTTATTTTCCTTACCATAGATGTTAGTCCACAAATGATCATGAGGAAGAACATAAGAAGATATGTCATGAGATGAAGTACTCATGGGCCTGCTCATAGTTTCCTTCGTCATGCTGGTAATCTCTTTGCCGTTTCCGTAGATGAGTTTGTACGAAGGACCTTTGATTCCCTGCGAAGCCATCCGCTTCTGTATGCGAGTTGGAGTCCACCATAGTTTGTCAAAGAACTTTACGAGAGCCAAGAGAATTAGAAAGAGCAGAGACAGAAAGCTTGAAACAGTGGTTACTCCCATCATACTTTGCCAATTGAGATTACTTACAGACTATCAATTCTTATACTAAATAACTCAACTGGATAGCACACCTCTCTTTATGTAGTCAATTTACAACACCTCCAGTCGTTTCTGAATGCCATTGACAAGAGGCTAGGTTATAACTTATAATGCACGAAACATAACTTATAATGCACGCAGCTCGCAGATTTTGAATAAGGTGTCAATGTAGCATATCATTTTTTTCAAGGTTTCAATGTAGCATATCTTCCAAGTCCCAACAATTAATAAAAGGCCTAATTGGATTATTAGTTCTGGTGGTGATAGGGTGTTGGAAGATAGCATATGATAAAATAAAAAAAATAAAAAAAGAATTTAAGCTCCTGTGGTGAAGTCTGTTAGAATTTAAGCCCAAAATTGAAAATTTCGTTAACTCTCTGTTAATTATTAGCACATGAGCCACACATATTAGGCTAAAACGGAACTCTCCGTTAATTGTTATCACATGGGGCCACATGCAATGGTAGATCCAGGATTTTAAACTCGGCGGTCCGATTAATAAATGTCAAAAAATTTATAGACAAAATTAACATTGAAAAGTTAAATATAATACATTTCATTCAAAAATCATACGCAAAACGACATTACAAGCTATAAAATCCTAATTCAAGCGTCGACGAGGTTTCATAGTCTGAAAATGTTCTGTGATAGCTTCATTACCAATACATGAAAAAACATCTTTCTCAATGTAAACAACTAAGCTGTCACTCAACCATCTTTCTCAATGAACAAATAGATGGTGCTATTGGCTTTGGCTTGAAAAATCTCTCCATATTTTTTATTTTTAAACTACACATTTAATAAAATAACACAAAACATATACCAATGGTGGTGATAGGGTGTTGGAAGATAGCCCATATGATAAAATAAAAAAAATAAAAAAAAAGAATTTAAGCTTCTGTGGTGAAGTCTGTTAGAATTTAAGCCCAAAATTGAAAATTTCGTTAACTCTCTGTTAATTATTAGCACATGAGCCACACATATTAGGCTAAAACGGAACTCTCCGTTAATTGTTATCACATGGGGCCACATGCAGTGGTAGATCCAGGATTTTAAACTCGGCGGTCCGATTAATAAATGTCAAAAAATTTATAGACAAAATTAACATTGAAAAGTTAAATATAATACATTTCATTCAAAAATCATACGCAAAACAACATTACAAGCTATAAAATCCTAATTCAAGCGTCAACGACGAGGTTTCATAGTCCGAAAATGTTCTATGATAGCTTCATTACCAATACATGAAAAAACATCTTTCTCAACATAAACAACTAAGCTGTCACTCAACCATCTTTCTCAATAAATAAATAGATGGTGCTATTGGCTTTGGCTTGAAAAATCTCTCTATATTTTTTATTTTTAAACTACACATTTAATAAAATAACACAAAACATATACCAATTGTTAAAAAGGGTCCTATTTTCTTTTTTTCTCCGCTCATGGTGAAGAAGACGCTGCTGCAACCTGTTAGGGTGTTCAAATTAGTGGAAGCTTTATCACCGAGTAAATTAGTTGTTAGCCTTTAATTGCTTGTTTTGTCATTTTGTTAAAAGTTGTTAAGTGAAATGTTGAGCTAGCACCTTGTGGCCCAGACTCTTTAAATAGAGCAATAACTCCCTTGCTTTTGTAACGATTATTTGAAAAGAAAAATATAAAAAAAATAGTAAGCACGTTTTGTGTGCTCTTCTTCCTCCTTTCGCTTATCCTTCATTACAGCAACTCGTCGAGGTTGAGCTACCGGATTCAGGTTGGTAGCTATCACAACCTGCAACCTGCACAACACATACCTTGTGTTCGTGTACGAGGGGTCCTCGAAAAATTTCTAGCAGCGATTTAGGGTCCAAGTCCCTCTGTAGATTCGTTACTGGCTACATGTGAAGTTAACTTTATTTTTTTAGTCTCACATATAAACATTTATATACGAACGATTAACCGAGAGTTGATGAATTTTTTTACCATAAGGCTTATCTTTCAACTACCCTATCACCATGGGGACCAATGATCCAATTAAGTCTTAATAAAATAAGGGGGTTTTACCACAAAAGGTCTCTGAATTTGACCCACCCATCAAAATGATATCTGAAATTAAAAATCGATCAATATAATCCTTAAAAAGGAGTATCGCAAATCAATGTGATCCTTCTATAAAAATTATGTCAAAAATGCCATTACTTGCTGACGTGGCATATAATTGGTTACACAAGTCTAATTATATATTGGAACGAAAAGCTTCTTCGCGAGAAGAATAAAGGTACAAACACTTTTCGTCCCAATATACAAATTGGGATGAGAAGTCAGCGTTTGAAAAAAAAAATACTGTGTTGGTAGTGCTTCTCCATAGCGGGCTACTCATACTGTCCGTAACGTCTCTTGAATATATCATCCACAAAACTCATCAAGTTCGGCTTTGTTTCATCAATAATATACCATTCCTTTTATGCAAAAAAAATCAAAATTCAAAATTAAACATTTTAATATATTATTATGGGAACTTTAACGAAAAGCTCCCGGTACTGTTCACTTTAACGAAAAACCACATTTTTACACTAAAAAGTCAATCCTGGTACTATTCACTTTACCCTTTATTTTGTCTTTATCATTAAAACTTAAAGTTTTCAAGTCATTTTCATTAGTTTTCTTTATTATATAACAAAAATAATTACTAATATATTAACACCCACTTACTGCTAAGTCATCTAACATATACTTATTCAGATCCTCCAGCACCTTCTTCCAAGATGCCCACTTGGCCGCATGACATTTGTTCCGCAATACATTCCCAATCTCGTGTGTAAGTTCAGCAGACAACTCCCTCTCAGATCCCCTGAAACTATTCATGTTGATTCCGCCTGTCATTATTTCCTCTTCTGGCACGTATATGTGTAATCTTTACCTTCTTTTACCCAGATCCTTCTCCATCACACTGAAGAAAGTTGAGGTTTCACCATAAAACCAATTGGCAATATGAGAAGTAGCCTAACATCTCTTATAAGCCCTTACAAGGTTTCTCCTTTCACTATTGTGAGACTCTTTTACCTTCACATTCTCACACACGTCCTCTCACATGTGATGAATTTTCAAGCTAAACACGTGGACAACACGAATTGGATGTCATGGAGCACGTGTGGCCGTTGGGCTTCACACGTGGGCCAACTTGCTCTGATACCATGAAGAAAGTATAGGTTCCACCATAAAACCAATTGGCAATATGGGGAGTAACCCAACCTCTTATAAACCTTTGCAAGATTTCTCCTTTCACTAATGTGGGACTCTTTTACCTTCACACTCTCATACATACCCCTTATTCTGACCTTCGGCGAAATTGGTCATCATACGAACTGGGATATGAGGAGTTTGGGGCAAAAGAAAATGAGGGGAAATAGAGGATTTTGGGGAAAATGATGTGAGTAAAAGGGAGAGAGAACCTGTCAATTAATACAACCATAAGACATTTGCGCGATAAATATTTCCTCGCGCAAAGGTCACAATAATTACATTGGCTAAAACGATCAATTTTCCTTTTCAAAGCACTTTGCACGACAACCTGATAGATTTGGCTAGTGGTAATAACCAAGTTGGAGATAGTATAGGTGTTGCTGGAGTGGGGCCCTCAGCCCGTCAAGTTCTGAGGAAAAAAAGACAAAGCAGTTTCTAGTCAACCATTTGATGCAACATAGATGGATAGCATGGGTGTTTTCCTTCTGAAGAGAAGCTTGGCGCTGTTCATGAATAAACTTGCTCCCAGGAAAAAGCGAGAGCAAACTTGGAGGAGTATCTTTGCGCAACACCTCATGTACATGTGATGGAACAAGTAGTAATCAGGGGGAATTCCATTCAGCAAGAGAGATAATTATGTGGTCTGAGGGATTTGCCTTCTGAAGATGGCTAAGTGAGTCCGGTTCGAAGAGATACAGCCATTGTTGAAAGTGATATAACCACTGATGGAGAAAAGCACAGGGAGACTGCTGAATACAAGCGAGGAATAGAAGAACTGGCATCCAGGCAGCGAGTCTCACAAAGTAAATGCCCTTCTTCACCACTTGGTGTCTGTGCTATTTTTCTTTTATTTTTTATTTTATGCAGTTCATACTGTCTAAATTTCATACATCTTTATTTATATTCCACACACTTCTGTAACTTCTAGTCTTTGTGCATTTCAGTAACTTCTTGTTAGTAGAAATTGAACTTGAAAGGTGTTCTGTAGCTTACAGATGACCACATGACCTGACATTAGTTATATTTTAATTTTTTTCCACGCAGAAGAGGCACAAAGATTAAGCAAGAGGAGAAAGGCGGAAAGCATGCGTTTATTGGATATGCAGAGAAGGCAAAAGCAACGTGCGGAAGAAGTAAGAAAGTCACAAAAGTAGGTATGGATTTCAAATATTCAATATTTGTTACATTTTATTTTTTACTCTGAATGTAGCTTTTCCTCGTCTCTTGACTCCCCTATCAAGTTTAAAGGGCATTCTGTCTGGTTTTAGATCAAGTACATACAATTGATTGTATATCACTGACTTGTTAAGTGTGTCATATTCAGGATGAAGAAAATATAAATTTGAAAGACCAACTTCGTGCTGAAGTTTGGAAGGAGCTTAAAAGATTGGAATTGACATGCATAGATACGGATCTTTGCTTCGCGTCTTAGGAATATAAATGGGGGCTGGTTTCCCTCCTCTGCCCAATGAGCTAAGCTACAATTAGTTCCCGAAGATGATTTAGGTTCTTTTGTAGTTTATGGTTTGATGGGTTTCTAATTTGATGCAATACTATCTAATGAAAGTGGAAATGGAAATTTTAGGTGCGCGCAGCATATAAACGAGCATTGCTGAAATTTCACCCAGACCCATCAAGAAGTGACATACGCCAGCAAGTTGAAGCCGAGGAAAAGTTTAAGCTTATATCTCGCATGAAGGAAAAGCTTCCACTGACTTCATGTTACTGATATTAACAGTTGAAGGATTAAGTAAGCTTGAGGAAGATTGAGCTCAAAGAATGGCATAAAGAATGAGATATGAGCTGAGGAGAAAGAAGAAAGAAATGAGAGTGTAACCATTGAGATTCAATAGATGGTTTACAGAGTCATTACAATCTGCTATATATAGCAGCACATGTTTTCTTAATGGCTAATACTAATTTCAAATAAGATGTCAAATCCTAAGTGGAATTATGTGTAATCAATTTTGAAGGTAGAAACAAACTCCAACCGAAACGTCAATTTGATGTGGATTGACATATGAGAAAATGTGATGTCAAATAATTTTTAATTATTTTATTGTGTGGGTACATTAATGCACTAATTATAGATCTTGGAAATTTATTTTAATTGAATTCTTTTTAAAATGGGTTCTACAAATATCAATTATAATAAAATAACATATTGGTTGAAAAAAAAATCTGATATTGCCACATCAACTATCAAATTAACATTTGACGTTTATCTTTTGACGTCTTTATTAGAGATACTATAAGTAGCCATCACAACAGCTTTTAACAAACTGATATCAATCAAGCCTAACTGCTCTAGGATGACATGGATCTTCACCAGTCTGGTTTGGTATTGCTGTGCTTTGAAAAAAAGCTGTTGTGAGAATAAGCGGCTGTACTGTGAGAATAAGCGGCTGTGAAATAAAGCCAGTAGAGTGTTTGGTAAACTTTTTTGTGAAAGTGCTTTTGGAAAAAAAAGCAGGATGATAGTGTGTCTTTTCATTAAAGGAGCACTGCAGCTCCGTGTGCTTTGAAAAAACTGGTTTTTTTTCAAAGCAGCAAATAGCAGCTTCAGCTTTTCCTTTGATTTTCAGCTTATTCTCACAGCAGCTTCCAAAATAAGCCATTTTTTTTCAGTTTACCAAACACAAAAATGACCCTCAGTTTTTTTTCACAGTGACTTTTTTTTAAATCACCTTAATCCCAAACGGGGCCTAATTCTGCCACTTGTACAACATATTCCTTCACTTATCAACTGAATATACAAAATTTTCATCAAAATTGATCAATTTTCCAGTGCAACAGATTAGGCTTTTTTTTTTGGTTAATGCCTCCATAAAGCTTCCGATTCATCATTTTGTATCCGTACGTTGTCATTTTTATTTCAACCGGATTTTAGCCGGTAACAAAATCTATATTGTAAGGGATGGTTTGGGAGTGAGGTGTTTAAAAAAAAAGTACCTATGAAAAAAAGCTGTGAGGGTTTTAAGTGTTTGGTAAACTGAAAAAAAATGGCTTATTTTAGAAGCTGCTATGAGAATAAGCTAAAATCAAAAGAAAAAGCTGAAGCTGCTATTTGCAGCTTTGGAAAACTGGCTTTTTTTCAAAGCACACGGAGCTACAGTGCTCCTTTAATGAAAAGACCCACTATCAGACTGCTTTTTTTTTCCAAAATCACTTTTACAAAAAAGTTTACCAAACACTCTGCTGATTTATTTCACAGCCGCTTATTCTCACAGCATAGCCACTTATTCTCACAGCAGTTTTTTTTTCAAAGTACAGCAATACCAAATCAGCCCTAAATCAGTTGTAGTTTTTTGTAGTAGGTGGCCAGGAAAATTATTCGTTCAAACGTGCAAATAATAACTTGCTTATTCTGCGCTCTTGTAATGCCATTTGGTCCTGGCGGTTTTTCTGGCACGAAATTGAAGTGCCTACCACACAATAATGCTACCCGAGAAGCTGGAGTCTTCTATGCAACTAAGTTCAATACAATGGAATATTAAAGCAACATTTGATGTTAACTAGGAGCAGAATTTTTAAGCGTTGGCGGCTTTTTTTATTTTTTATTATTAGTTGAACAATGCGGGCTTTCTCGTTTGGTATACTTCTTGGGTCCAATTTTTTGTTTATGAAAACAGTAAGTACTATATAATTTTTAGTTACATTTCATTCATGTACAAATCTTTTTCCTTTTGTTGGGGAAATCTTTGTGGTATGAGGGGAGTTTTTATAATGAACCATACTATCTACATTTTAGTACATTATTCATAGATCATCTTTGAAAATAATCATTTAAAATCAAAACTATTAAGACATCTAATTATAGTGAAGAAAATAGACAAATACGATTTTTAAAGAACCACTAAGGGTGCGTTTGTTGCACCGGACTATCTCAAACTGGACTAACTTCTGAGACTAAGCTGAACTGACTTAGAATAGATTAAGCTGGACTGATTTAGTGAAACGTTTGGTTTAGTGTCGAACTAAGAAGTAGGATAATGAAAAAAAATTAAACCATGACGTATAAAAAATATTAAATGTTATTTGCTTCATTCCAACACCAAAGTAGCAAAACCCCAATCGACAAACCAAGGTACAAACAATTCCAAAAAAATATTATAGGTGAATTTGAGTCACTTATTCTTTACACTCACAATTCTTATAATCAGATTTCAACTTCTAACTACAAACTAAAACAAAGAAACAACAAAACCAAACTAGTACCTGTTCTTTCTTGTTCTAGTTTTCCTTTACACTCCCATGTCTTGTCCTTTCCTTTTGGGCTCAATTGAAATGGATGACAAAAAAGGAGACAACCAAGAAGAAACCTACAACAAAAAATCCTAATTCATATCACCCAACTTGTTATTTCTCTTCAGCTTGGGCTTCTTATTTCAATAATGAGCAAAAATAATAAACGAATGCAATACTACCAGCCTTTACATAATTACTACTTAGGAACTATACAACAAAATGTGTCGTCCTTCACTTCCTTAGCCTCGAAGACACCTCGTGTAACATCGTTTCCGATTTGCAGCACTCTCAATTCGCTTTCAGAACTCAGAAAATCCATAACTTCCTGCACTCTGCAACATTTTGAGTGTACACGGCAATTGGCTTTCAGTGGTTGCTGGCTGCCTTGTGTTATGAAGATAGTTGAGGTAGCTCAGCAATACATTTCAACTTCTCCCAATGACCAACAATCGCCGCTAACGGCTGTTAATAACAGTGGAGCAGCAGCTGCAGCAAGACAAAAAAAAATTTTAATCCACGGACAAAGTTGCAAATTTCCTTTCACCAATTGTGGCCTCTAGAAAAAACAAGATTGACATTGAGAAGCAGTAGTGGCTTTAAACGAGGGGTTGTATCTTTTGAAAAACTGTGAACTTTATAAACAAAAAAGAGAAGGAAAACAAAACTAGTACAACAGCAGAGTTGTTTGTCAATATCAATCACTGGGAACTATAATTCCCACAATAGTTTAGAGGATAAATTGAATGTATTAAGAATAGAAGAACAAGTTTGAATATAAATAGAGATCGACAATAAGAGGGTTGGCTGCAAACACTCAATGAGCAAGATTCAAGAAAATGGGATTCACTTGTGGGAACTCAAACAGGGTAGCAAAAGATCCCAACAGTTTTGCAATTTCTAACAATTTTCCTCGGCTGAGAAAAAGAACACTGGTGGACACAAGTTGATACCATAAATATGTAATGTTTCCACATAACAAAAACCTGAAGAAGTATGATTGTATAATACTCAAACAACTTATTTAAGGCATCTTACCTTCAATTGACCAGTGTTATACTGTAGTGTGACTAAACGCAACATCTTTGGGGTTATCCCTTCATCTCCCTGTCCTCATGGCACAAGGGGCACCAGTGCAAGCAGCTGTATGTCAAGCATGGGTCACACGGCGAGTTCTGCAGTCAACAATGCAATCAAGCATTCAGCAAGCTTCAATTAAGAAAAATATATTCCGCATGACATAAACATAAGCTAGATTGTTTAAAATATTCTTATGCAATATATAAGAGATGAATCGTGAATCCAATAGTCTATGACTAAACTTACTGCATACTAGTTAAGTAAGTTGAGGTTCAAAAAGTTGGGGCAATAGCAGCACACACATGATGCATTAACATCAGACCAGAACACTAAACCAGAGCATCTTTCAAAAGTGACGACACGCCCTTGAAGTACATTGAGCAAAGAACCAAAAATTACCTCCATAATCCACTCCAAGTGCCAAATTTTAATCCAAAAATTAATAAAATCTTGATTAACATAATTCTATCAAAGCCAATTAACACAAACCTGATTAACAAGTTGGTGGGGGGCTGAAGAAGGTGGTCGGTGATGGAGCTGGAGCTGCAGGGCAAGGCGTTGCTGCCCTTTTTGGAGCTGCAACTTCACAAGTTTGAAATTGAATCAAAATTACCATCAATCAATTTATCAGGCAGGTTGAATTTTGAGAATTTGATAGATAAAAAGAGTTTAGAGAGTAGAGAGAGAAAGAGATGGGAGAGAGAGATAGGAAGGGAAGTGTAACTGAGATGGTGGGAGTTCGAATTTGACCGGTGCCTGGAGGTGTAGTTGTAGCCGCTAACGGTGAGGCCCTGAGCAACCAAACAGATGACCGCCCACTTGAGGAGGCCTTTGGTAACAAACATAGATTACGTGGCTGGAAACCGACAAGGGAGCTGAAGACGATCGAGAGGGCAAAGGTGCGACGAGGAAGGAGAAGGCGAGGAAGAAGAAGACGAGAGGGCGACGGTGCGAAAGAGAAGGGAGAGGACGGGATTAGCAGTCCGCTCGTTCTGGGGTTCTTCGTTAAGACCTTCTAGCGAAGGTTTAGATAGAATTCTAGGGTTTGGTAAAAATTGTTCTCTTCTTATTAATATATAAACTTATACAATCTCTTATAATTTAGGAAACAAGTATCCCTAATACATAAGGATACCAATTGCATAATTATAATATCTCTACATTCCTTATTCTTCAAGGTTGACTCACGCAACACTGCCCCTCATGTTGGTGCGTAGATATCACCTAGGCCCAACTTGTCAAGTGAGTCTTGAAACACTCTTGCTGACACTACATGCGTTAACATGTCAGCCAGCTGGTCTTCGGATCTTACATATGGAATATCAATTAACTTAACATCCAACTTTTCTTTAATAAAATGTATATCCACCTCAACATGTTTCACAATGAACTGGATTATTAGCTATTTCTCGCGCAGCCTGATTATCACAATATAAAAGCATCGATCCACATGGCTTGAACCTAATCTCTGCAAGAAGAATCCTCAGCCATAATAACTCATAAATCACATGCGCCATTCCACGGTATTCAGCTTCTGCAGTGGACCTGGCCACAACATTCTATTTCTTGCTTCTCCAAGTCACAAGGTTTCCTGCAACAAATGTGAAGTACCCTGACGTAGAGTGTCTATCAATAACGTTCCCAGCCCAATTAGCATCAGTGTACCCTTTTACCTTCATATGCCCATGTTTCCTGAAGATCAACCCTTTTCCAGGTGCACCTTTCAAATAATTCAAAATCCGCATAACAGCAGCCATATGATCCTCACTATGAGAGTGCATAAATTGACTTACTACACTAACAACATATGCAATATCTGGTCTCGTAAGAGACAAGTAAATCAACCTTCCTACTAACCTCTGGTATCTTTCTTTGTTTGCTGGCACCTGGTCTGGGTAGATAGCCAAATGATGATTTTGAACTATAGGTGTTTATGCTAGTTTGCATGCCAACATCCCAGTCTCAGACAAAAGATCCAGAACATATTTTCGCTGAGATATGTAAATACCGTCACGGGAACGAGCAACTTAAATTCCCAAGAAGTACTTCAAACCTCCTAAATCTTTCATCTCAAACTCCGAAGAAAAATACTCTTGTAATCTCTCCATTTCTTTTGTATCATCACATGTGACTACCATATCATCCACATATATTGTCAACAAGGTAACCTTTCCTCCATTGCGTTTGATAAACAAAGTGTGATCCGCACTCCCTTGTCGGTACCCATATTTCTTCATTGCATCAGTAAATCTTCCAAACCAGGCCCTCGGCGATTGTTTGAGTCCATAAAGAGCCTTTCGTAGTCTGCATACTTTGCTTGCTTTATTCTGCACTTCATACCTAGGTGGGAGCTCCATGTATACTTCTTCCTCCAAGTTTCCATGTAGAAAAGCATTCTTCACATCAAATTGTTTCAACGGCCAATCAAAGTTAGCAGCTAAAGACAACAGAACCCGTATAGTATTCATCTTTGCTACTGGGGCAAATGTTTCCTGATAATCTACTCCAAAAGTCTATGTGTACCCCTTAGCTACCAACCTTGCCTTGTATCTGTCAATGGTTCCATTAGCCTTGTGTTTGATGGTGAACACCCATTTGCATCCGACTGGTCTTTTTCCTTGTGGTAGTGACTCCACACTCCAAGTTCCATTTTTCTGTAAGGCCTCCATTTCGACCTCCATTGCTTCTATCCACCGAGGATCCCACAAAGCTTCTTCCACTTTTGCTGGAATTTTGATTCCATCCATTTTATTCACCAAGGCTTGGTACTTAGGAGATAATCGATGAGTAGAGACATACTTTGCAATAGCATATCTAACTTTTTCATCCCGAGAATACCTGTCAGGTGGTTTCCCACAATTTTGTCTAGGAGGCAACACATAAGTACTTTCAATGTTAGTCAAATTATGAGCTTCATCAGATTAGGATAAACGTACCTCATGGATATCCTCGGGACAAGGACGGGTACAACCAGAGGAGGGTTATTTTTTGAAGTGCTTGGGTTGTCAGAAACTTGGCTTAATGGTTGCAGCTCACTGCTGTGTTCATATTGTGCATAGGGCTATGAAATGCCCTCATTGTTTTGTACATTAGGCCGTGATAAGCCTTCTACTTCCTTGATTTCTGAGATAGGCAATCCCAACTCACCCATGCTGCTGCTGTTCGGCCCAAGTTCATTTAAACCCACGAGCAGTTGTTGGCCCTGTTGGCAGATTCTATCACGGTGGCAACCTTTATGCTGGCAGGTGTCACTATGGCTATCCTCATGCCCAGTTAAAAGATTAATCCAACTGTAATCTTTATGTGCATTCATCTCCCCCTGAAGATTATAGTGGGTGTGATTAGTGATAAAAAACATCTCGTGTTCGGAAAAGGTAACATCCATGGTGACGTACATATGCTTGGTCTGCGGGTGGTAACACCGGTACCCTTTTTGCTGACCATTAAATCCCAGAAAAATACATCGAATTGCATATGGATCCAACTTACTAAGCTGAATTTTGTGGAGGTGCACATAGGCCACACAACCAAATATATGTGGTTGCAAATGAAGTGAAGATGGTAACGTCACATGGTCTGCAAAAATTTCCATAGGAGTGCCAAAATTATTCACTTGGGAGGGCATTCGGTTCATGAGATAAACATAGTATCTTACAGCATCCGCCCAATAGGAATGAGGAGCGTGAACACCAATAAGAAGTGCTCGAGTGGTTTCCAAAATGTGTCTATTTTTGCGTTCTGCAATCCCATTTTGTTCCGGGGTTTGTGGGCAAGTAGTCTCATGAAAAATTATGTGCTCTTGAAAATATTGAGAAACTTCGGTATTGAGATATTCCCCACCATTATTGGACCTGAGAACCTTAAAGGGCAGAAAGTATTGATTTTTAACCATGCAGTAAAACTGGTGAAAAATTTGACCAACATCACTTTTATGTTTCATAGTATAAAGCCATGTCATTCTGGTGCAGTCATCCACAAATACAACAAACCAACGAATCCCATGATTAGTAGCTACTGGAGAATGCCCCACACATCAGAATGAACCAGCTCAAAGAGAACTGTTCTTTTATTGAAACTCAAATGATAAGAAGTACAATGACTTTTTGCAAGAATACAATCCTTACTTTGGAAATCAGAGTCTGAAACGCCATGAAATAAAGACAGAAACAATTTTTTTAAATAACCAAAAGACGCATGCCCTAATCGACGATGCCATAACCAGATTGTCTTATTCTTGTTTGGGTGGCTACTACGCACTTGATTTACTCGGCTTGCCGACACATCATCCACATGATATAACCCTCTCCTCCTAGTACCACGTCCAATTATCGCCCGAGTCTGGATATCATGAAGTAGGCAAAGTGGGAAACATTAACACAACACAATCTAATTGCTCAATAACTTGACCAACAAAAAGTAGATGATTAGATAATGACGGAACAAGTAGTGCGTTGTGAATGGACAAAGATGGAGTAAGGGAAATAGAACCTGCTCCCGTTACAGTAGCAACATCACCGTTGGCTATGATGACATCCTCTTTAGACGGTGAAGTAATGTGATAAAATAATGATGCATTGTAAGTCATATGGTACGTAGCTCCAGAGTCAATTATCCAACCAGTATCTCTTTTGGTGGATGCTATTAAAACAGTACCAATTTTACCTAAATCTTCCGAATTGTCATCCAATGAAATTTGGTTGATTAAGGATAGTAATGGACCGGTTTCATCAACCTCGGTCGCTGCCTCCAAGGTCTGCCTTGTAGATTGGGCTTCTTCCGTGACATGGTTGAATTGATTTGGCCCTGACTGACCCGCTGCAACATAAGCGACACCTCTGCCACCATCAGCCTTCTCTTGTTGGACATTGGGTCCAACGTGGCCCCCTGCACTAGACGTTGCTCCTGGTCCAGCAGCGGCAATTTGGTTCTATTCACCAGCCATCACAACGACTTCTTGGATAGATTTGGTTAGGTTACGCAGCCTTGATGTTTACAAGGTCTGCAGTTTGGATTTTCTGCTTCTAACAGTCTATGGTTCAGACTGTGAGAGGGTTTGTTAGCTGTTCTGAGGTTTTGTTTTGGAGGAGGCAGGCCGAACCTGCTCTGGATACCAAGATAGAATTCTAGGGTTTTGGTAAAAATTGTTCTCTTCTTATTCTTCTTTCATAGAGGAATATATAAACTTATACAATCTCCTATAATTTAGGAAACAAGTATCCTTAATACATAAGGATACCAATTACATAATTATAATATCTCTACATTCCTTATTTTCCAAGGTTGACTCACGCAACAGGTTTTAGTCGACGCGAGTTCGGTTAATTCCATTAAACGCAGTCCTGATTGCTAACAAACATGGGACTAGACTAAGACTAGACTAACTGTTAGTCTAATCCAGTCCAGTGAGGGTTAGTGAAGGGAAACAAACACACCCAATATGACTACTAATCCAACAGTAAAATAATTTCGAATTTGGGTGATTTTATGATCTTGGGGGAAGAACTAAAAGATAGACTGTTGGTTCGTTGAAATATGATATGAAGTAGGTCCTATAGAGGATCCCTCGAATAAGCTTATTTGAGAGATCCCTCAATGCAAGGTGACTAATACATATATGTATATCAGTATATGTATACATAATAACAAAATTATGAGTCTTGATTATTGAAACTGAGCTTGAAATTTATGTATATTAAATTCTGATATTTAACATTTTTATTCTTTCGTCTTTGCAAAATGCTAAACAAACCATTCTCTACCTACGTGTTAAACTCACTATAACTGTCACCCCATTATACATCTTGTGCAACATTTATTGGCAATTTCTGGTCTTCAGAATTCAAACTGGGTGTAGTATCACTTGAACACCATGTTGCGGGCGAACTGTCAGAAACTGAATGGGGGAGTGCACGTAACCCGGGGAAAGAGTGAAACTGTAGCGTTGCAGAATCATTGAAAGAGCAATCTTTGCTTCGATGATTGCAAAGTTCATGCCCACACAGGTTCGAGGTCCCATTCCAAAGGGCATGAATGCGACCGCATTGTTGTTAGTAGCTTTAGCAACC